AAGGGTTTCTTACTGTGGAGACCTCGCCCAGCATGAGAGGTCGCGAAAAATAAACCTGGGGTGGCAGTCATTGATATAACTCGGGGGAAGCGAAAAGGTGGAGTAACACGCCGGCCGCAAGGAGGAAAGGGGGGGGGGGGGAGAGGGGGAAGAGAGGGTGGGAAGAGGTCTGAAGGATGAAGGGGGACACAACCATTGCTGGAATTGTGTGTCCCCTTGATGGGGACATCTATGTTCGGCGTCTGACTTCGAGCGCCGCTTTTGATCACGAAGAGCCGCTGCCTTTCACCACGGAGCCCGCCCATGCTGCAGCTCGACGTCCAGCTTCCGCGGCGTGTGCGTGGGCCAGCCCAAAATATGGAAGCATGGGCAGGGGCCAGCCACGCCACGCGCGGCAGCGCGCACCTCGTGCTCCACTCGCCGTTCTTGGAGCAGAACCGCGAGGCGAGCCCCGCCATGCTCGCCGGGGCGCTGAGGATGATCCTCGCCAGCCTCGCCACGCGCCGCCGCGCCGGCCCCTTCGCCCAGGCGCCTCCTCCGCCGCTCGCCGCAGGAGAGCTGCTCGTCGTCGAGATGCTCGTTGTTTGGAAGCCCCTGGGCCTCGCCACAGGTCTCTCTGGCTCTGCGCTCGGCCCCGGGCGTCGCGCCGTGGCGACGCCAGCAGGTGGGCTCCAGGCCGCCCCGCGCGAGCGTATGCGCGGCGGCGACGCCTCCGCACCACCCCTGCCCCGAGAGCGTGTCTGTGCCCTATCTGAGGCCTTGGAGTTTTTGTTTTTTTATTTTGCACAAAACCAGCAACAGCACTTGGGCGTCGACATGGTCGCGCCTCGTCCCGCCGCGGCCCGCCCGCTCCTCGCGGCTCTCGCGGCGGCTGCCCTCCTCCCGGCCGCCGGCCGGCCCATCTCCACGACGGACCGGAGTGCCGCCTATTCGGTGCAGCTCATGACGGGCGCCATCTACCCAAAGGGCGCCGAGCCGGCCGGGCTGCGGACCGTGGTGATGACCAAGAAGGGCGGCAAGAAGTACCGCTGCCACCTTCCGCAGCCGCCCAGCAACGAGAGCAAGCCGGACGCCGGCGCGGCGCCGCCGGCGCAGCCAGTCGACGAGTTCCTCGGCCCGCTGGTGGGGCAGTGCTACCTCAAGCCGGAGGGGTGGTGGACGTACGAGGTGTGCCTGTCGCGCCGCATCCGCCAGTACCACCAGGAGAAGCAGGCCATGGTCAAGGGCGCCGACGGCAAGCCGACCCCTACAGGGCCGGGGCAGATCACACAGGCTTGAGCCGTCGCGCCCGCCGCCGCCTCCCTCGCCGCCGCCGCCCTCGTTCCCACCCGCGCCCTTGCCGCCACGTCCCTCGCCGCCTCCACCTTCGCTGCCGCCGCCCTCGCCAGCTCCGATGGCCGCCGCCGCCCTTCGCCCGCAGGAGTACATCCTCGGGACGTACTGGAAGAAGCCGCAGCCCGAGGCGCCAGCGGAGGGCGGCGCGGAGCCGAGCGTTGCGGAGACGCTGCGGGCGGAGCTGCGCGGCGAGATTGTGTCCGAGACGGCGAACAAGCGCGCGTACTTCAAGATGCGGTACGGCAACGGCACGCTCTGCGACAAGACGGGAAAGCCGCGCGAGGTCGAGGTGTGCAGTCCCGTCTCTGAGCCGTCTCTTCGCCGTCTCTGCGCCGTCTCTGATTTCGTCTCTGATTTCGTCTCTCCCTCCTGCAGGTGCGCCTCTCGTGCGGTCCCGGCGAGGGGCTGCAGATCTCTCTCATCGAGGAGGTCTCGACATGCGCGTATGTCTTTCACGTCCGCACCGACCGCCTCTGCCGCCACCCGGCATTCGAGGCGGAGCGGGCGAAAGAGACCTCGCTGCCCGTCAAGTGCGAGCCGCTCGGCGAGGGCCAGCCGAGATGCGCCGAGATGCGCCGAGATGCGCCGAGATGCGCCGCGGTTCGTCGCGGTTCGTCGCGGTTCGTCGCGAGGGCCAGCCGAGATGCGCCGAGATGCGCCGAGATGCGCCGAGATGCGCCGAGATGCGCCGCGGTTCGTCGCGAGGTAGAGCCGCTTGCGAGGACGGCGTGCGGCGACTGCCACGCCCCTGCCCACGAACGTTCTCGGAACCTTCCCCGACAGGCGAGGACGGAACCCCGCTGCCCGCTGCGCCGAAGCGCGACAAGCCGCCGCCCACTGCGGCGGGCGAGGCGGCGATTGACAGCGCGCAGGCGCGATCCAGCCGAGATGCGGCCGAGATGCGGCCGAGATGCAGCCGAGATGCGGCCGAGATGCAGCCGAGATGCGTTGAGCTACAGCGATCTAGCAGCCATTCAGCCGAGGCACAGTACTCGATGATTCGCGCGCAGGCGGCACTGCAGAGCGCCGGCGCGGCAGGCGCGGCAGGCGCGGCACTTTCTCCGCTCTCTGCCGTCGCCGCCGCGGCCGCCGGCGTCCTCGCCGCCGCCTCGCCGAACGACGTCGCGTACGGCGCGGGGCAGTGCGTCGCTCGCCGGCTCCGCGCGGCGTCCTCCTCACGCGCGGCCGCCTCCTTTCATTTGCAGGCGTGGGGCAGTGCTTCCTCCACCGGCGGCAAAACTACCGCGGCGTCATCGTCGGGGTGGACCGCGAGTGCCGCCAATCGGAGGCGTGGGTGAGTGCGATGCACGTGGGCCAGCTCAAGCACGGGAGGACGCAGCCCTTCTACCACGTCCTCGCAGACACGCGTGACCGGCGCCGACCGCACCGCCGCTCTCCCGCCCTCCCACCGCCCCTCGCACGCGCCTTCGCACGCGCTTCGCACCAGCACGCGCCCTCCCACCAGCCGCTCACCGCAGCCCTCACCTCGCCCGACAAGTCCCCCCACCCCACCCCCCGCACAGGCCCGGCGACGGGATCGGATATGTGCCGCAGGAGCTGCTGCTGCTCGACACGCCGCCGGAGCCGCTGCAGCACCCGCTCACCGCTTCGCTCTTCGGGTCGTACGACGCGAGGCGCGGCCGCTTCCTGCTCAAGGGCGGGGGGGCGGCGGAGGGCGAGGGGGCGGCGGCGGAGGACGCGCTGTCGGCCGTCGTCGGCGCGTCGGCGCAGGGCCTCTCCATCACCGTCACGTCTGGCGGACAGCAGCAGGCCGTCGAGCCAGGCGAGGAGGAGGAGGCCGGGCAGGGCGAGGCGGGCGAGCAGGCGGAGGAGGCCGTCCAGCCCGCCGAGGCCGCCGCCGCCGGTGAGGCGGGGCAGGACGGAGGAGGATGGGTGATAATCGATGAGGATTAGAGAGGCGTCCACGCCGGACACGGGACACTGGTAAAAGAGTGGGGGCTGGGGGCAGGCGGACTGGCTTAGAGGTCTCGCGGTCTGGGATGCCAGGCTTTCTTTTCTTGTACCAATTCCGTCCGTTCACGGTGTCTTCCCCCCCCAAAAGGAACCCCAGCGCAGAGAGTAGAGACCGGTTTCAGCTGGCTCCGCGCCGCCGGGGGCACTCTCCCGGGGGGAGGCGGGCTAGAGCCGTAGGCATCTGAATTTCCCCCCTTCCATGATATCATGGATTTTAGCCATGAAGTCATGGAACCGTGAGATCACAACTCCTCTCTCATGAAAATCACACGCCTGATTTCACAGCATATGATTTCATGGTCGCGCTGTGAAATCACACACCGGGGGGCACGCCCGTGCGGCTAGCACGACGGTCCCCCCAGCCCCACAGGCAGCATGCATTTTATTTCGTCCCACATGCTTCGATAAATGAGGCGAGAGCGTACACCGCGCCGCGCAAGCGGTGCACACACACACACACTCACTCATTCATAGCGCGCGAGGGACATGACATGCAGAGAGAGTGGGAGAAACTAGAGAGACTGGGCGCGAGATCCGCGGGTGCGCGCAATGCACCACTGGCGGAAAGGCTCAGCTCGTAGCTGCCTCTCGCTCCTAGAGGCCTAGTCTCTCGTGAGGAAGCCTCGCACCGGGGCGGCGCCTCCTGAGCGGCCCCAGATCGCGATGAGTCGCGCTGGCAGCGCCCTGGCGCAAGGCTGCTGGCACAGCCGCCTAGGCCGCTGCCTCGCGGATGCGGAGCAGCGGCTCCCACTTGGTCGGGCACGCGTCGGCGTCGAGCAGCCACGCCTTGATCCTCTCGAACCGCGCGGAAGAGCCTGTCTCGCGGTTGCGCTTGCCGTACTGCAGCACGCCTACAGGCACAGGCACAGATCACAGAACTGGTGAGGTGTGGGCGACTTCTCTCGCCGCAGAAGGTGCGCACGCACCTTCGGTGTCTGGGACGAAGGTGAGCGTCTGCCACAGCGACATCACCGTGTACGCCACGAACTTGAGCGTGATGGTGCGCGAGCGGCCCGACGGGAGGAAGGTGAGGTACTGCTGGATGAGCGCGGGCCACTCCTTGTGCGCGAAGGCCAGCAGCGTGTGGTTCTGCGGGTCGACGGCGGCGTGGAAGGCGAACATGAACTCGTCCTCGCCCTCAAGCTTGAAGCCGGGCGGCGCTGCCACCAGCCCAGCGAACAGCGCCACGTGCTCCGCCTTGGCCGCCGCGTGCAGAGTGGCGTTGGAGGCGTGCACCATGACGCGGTGGATGATGCCCGAGTAGATGAGGAGCAACTGGTTGCGGAGGTCGGTGTTGAGCTCCGACTCCGCCTCACGCAGCGTCGCACGGAGGTTCTGCTTGAACTGCGTCTTGAGCAGCACCTTGGACCCGGTGTTGTCGGGCAGCGGCAGCGCAGCGATGACCCCCGGCAGGATGTCGTCGAGGGAGAGCCCGGCAACGGTCTCGTCAAGGTGGGCGAGCAGGTACACCTGGATGGGGCGCACAATGACATGGCGCCTCAGGCGTTTGTATGGAGCGATCTCGGGCGATCTCGATCGATCTCAAGCAAATCTTGGGCAATCTCGGGCAATCTCGGCGACACCTTGATGGCGTGCATGACGACGTGGCGCTTGCCGGCAAACGTCCGCCGGTCGGGAGTAGGCTGCCAGTACGGGGAGGCGCCCGCCGCGGCAGCGCCACCGCCGCCACCGCCGCCACCGCCGCCACCGCCACCGGCCGGGCCGGCAGCGGCGGCGGCGGCGCCGCCGACCGCCGGGATGAGCTGCCGAAACGAGGGCGGTCGCGATGTTGTTGGGCCGGGAGGTGATCGCCTGCGTGAGCAGCGCCTGGTTGAACTCGCGGTTGGGGTCGTCCGCGCCGTTGGAGTCCTCGGCCCGCGCAGCCTCCTCGTACTCGTCTCCCTCGAGCTCGGGGTCAGAAATGCCGTCCTCAGAGCCCTCGGCGGAGGAGAGGATGTCGCCGCCGAGGCCGTCGGCCGAGCTCAGCTCGGATGGCACGTACGACGACGTGTCCGAGGAGCCGCTCTCGCTGCGCGCGTCAACCTGTGTGGGGCACGGAAGAAGCGTTCAGAGCGCAGCGCAGGCGTGGCGGTCGCTGCGAAGCAGGCGCGCGCCTCGGCAGTCGGCTCCGGGTTGACGAGGTCTTGGAGCGTCTTGGCCTCTGTCTTGCCAGCTTGGTCGGTGACGGGTGTCGTGTTGACACGGGGAGCGCGGCGCTGGCGCTTCTGAGGCATGTTGAAGTCTGCCCGAGAGACGGTTGAAGAAGCGACCGTGGGATCATGGTCCGTGAATTTCGAGCGCGAACCGAAGATTCCTTTGCCGCTCCCGCCTCGAATGCGCGAATCGCGCGGCTAGGTGTTGTGTTCTTGTGAGAGAGATTTTGTTTGTTTGTTCTTGTGTTCGGTGTACAGGGAAGTAGTTTGCTGTCGAAAAAAGCCGGCAACATTCTTCATTCAAGAGAGAGAGAGAGAGAGAGAATAAATACGGCTGCTTGCAGGCTGCAGACGCATTTCAAGACATGCTTTTCTGGGTGGTGCCAGCTTGGGGCAGCAGCATGTCGTGTATAAACTAATTTCTCTTAACCACTGCACACAACGTGCACACCAAGACGCCATTCATCCATGAGAGAGAAAGAGAATAAACCGACCTCAGCGCGCGGTGAATGGAGGAATGGAGCTGCCCTGAGGAACGATAAACTCGCTCGAGGTGGTTTGCAGGTTTGGAATATGCGTCTTCCCTCGCAATAACAAAGGCATGCACGAAATTCTTTCTGTCTCAGCGAAGCTGGTCGAGCGCGCAACAACCGAAGAACTGGCGCGTTTCGTGTGCTCCGACTGTGGCCGCGTCTGCCGTAGCTACACACAGCTCTCGTGGCACATCCGCGACGCACACCCTGGCGACCTCGACGCAGCAGCACACGCGGTACTCGATCGCGACGCGCATCGCGTCGCAGATCAGCAGGCGGAGCAGCCGCAGCGTGAGCACGAGCGCCGAGAAGCTCGGCGGAAGCCAGGCGAGCCGCGAGTGTCGCCGCGTCCGCCTCTGCCGCCGCCGTACTTTGCTGACATCCAGCTGGGCGCACTCTTTGGCAATATGCGCACGTTCCGGTGGTATGCACACCAGGAGCTCATCGGCACTTCCAACCATGACGCGCCCTCGGCCATCGCTCGCGAGCAGGAGGACACGGTCGGGTCGCTCCAACCGCTGCTGATTGATGCACGGCGTGGACTGTCGCCGATGCGAGCGGTGGTGGATGGCTTGCTCGACAAACTCGGGCTTCGATTTCACACAGTCACCATCGAGGTGGAGCTGACGCCAGGTGAGCCGCCGGTCGCTGTCGTGATGCACTATCGGAAGCTGGATGCGATGGCCCGCTTCCTCTTCCGCTTTGTGACGCCGGAGCACTGTCGCCCACGGCGGCTCGTCGAGCGCAGCAGTGGTGACCGCGTCTACGCGGATCCCTACTCGGGCGATGTGCTGCTCGAGCTCTGTGGCGCCATCCAGGCTCGGGACCCCTCGGCCATCGCTTTTGCGCTCAAGCTGTACTGGGACGATACAAATCTCACCAAGAACGGCGAGCGCTCGGCTTGCCCCGTGTCCGTCACCAGCCTGGCTCTTCCACTGGAGCAGGCCCGGCAGCCTTCCAATGGAATGCTCCTCTCGTACCTGTCCAAGGTGCCTGACCGAGCCATGCTTGAGGTGTCTGACGCGCGCAAGACAACTGTGCGCAAGCTGCTGTTTCGCGCGCAGATGCGACACTTGTTCAGTGGCATGCGAGACAGGAGCATGATCTCCCTGGTTGGTACCACCGCTGTTGGCGCGCACGGCCAGGCTGAGCGCATCTACCCCGTGGTGCTCGGGCTGTCGCTCGACTACCCAAAGATTGCGCAGGTGACGCAGACGCTGCAGAACCAGGCGTGCTGGATGTGCTACGCCAGGAAGGGGCCGGGGTTCTGGTCACACGAGAGCTTTGACCTGCGGAGCAACGCCACCCAGCGTGCGCACATCGGTCGGGCATGGGCTCTCCACCCGCACTCGGCGGCAGCGCGCGCGGACCACACCCGGCCTCTCGGGCTCCACCCTGATCCCAACCCGGCCTTTGAGGTGGTGGGCCTGGACGTCTTCCAGGGCACGGCCATCCCGCTGATGCACTTTTGCGAGCACGGCACTGGCCAGAAGCTGATGGAGTGCACCTTCCAGCTGATGCAGAGCAGCCTCTCCTCCCGTGACTTCAAGGCGTTGGGCAAGCAGATCGATGCCTGGATCACGGCGCGCGTCGTCCCGCTGCACATGACCAAATGCGCATTTTCGCGAGGCATCTCGCATTACCTGTACGGAGCCTACATCAATCCACTCGACCCATGGGAGGGAACTGTGAAGTTCGGCCAGATTGCCTCTGCCGACACGCTGAGAGACATCCTCCGCTTCTGGCGACTGCTCCTCGTCGACATCTCCCCCGGCTGCCCCCAGCTGCTCGAGCTCTTCACCGTCTACTTTGAGTGGTTGGAGCTCATGTACCGCAGAGCTCACACTGACGGGAGCCTGCGATACGCTTCAGATTTGAACGAGCAGTGGCAGGACCTGGCCATCTCCCTCTTTGGCAAGGAGCACTTTGAGGACTCCATTAAGTTCCACGCTGCCGGTGCGCACCTTGCCGACTGGACGACCGGGCGAGGGAGCCTGCTCTACTACAACGACGCGTACGGCGAGCTCCTCAACAAGAGCAATGCCAAGGAGCCGTGGAGACGCACCAACTACCACCGTGGCCCTCACGGTGCCGAGGAGCAGATGACGACGGTGGTCAGTCGGACCGACCTGCTCAAGCTGCTGCTGCAACTTGCGGAGCGGGCCGACGCCTCGCCTGCGCCTCCGCCGCCTCTCGCGTCGCCGCAGCTTGGCCCACCCAGCCGGCTGATGGGGGTTCGAGAGACGGTGTGCCGAATCGACCTTGGGGCTGCGCAAAACATCCACCCTTCCCTCCTTCAGCTTCCCTTCTCCGTGGCCTTGTATTTGCATCAAGCCACGGGCGGCGGCAGCGACGACGCCTCGTTCCCCGGTGGAATGCCCAGCCTCACTTCTTCGCTACTTGAGGTTCGACCGGGCGTGGCAGTGCAGCGATGGCCTGCCAACTTCCGCGCAGCAGAGCGAGGCGGCTCGAAGCTACACGCCGCCCTCTGCCAGGATGAGACGCGGCAAGAGGTGCGGCCGACCGGCGAGGCCCCTGTCTTTGTTGCTGTGGATGTCGATGGCCAGGGCAAGCTGTGGTACGGCCAGCTCATTCTCTGCTTTATCGCGCGCTACCTTGGGCCAGAGCAGCTGTGCTACATCCGATGGCTCGACTCGTTGCACGACCTCGATGCTGCGCGCATCCGCCCCCTGACCCCCCGCGAGGCGGTCGGTCCGTTTGAGGCCTTCCGGTGGTCGAAGCGACCCGGAAGCCGCCGCCACAGGGGGCACCCACGCGCTAATAGCCCTCACTACGGGGTAGTGAGCTGCGAGCAGGTGCGATACCGGGCCGCAATCATAGCGAGCCTGGCTGACGCTCTCGACGCAGAGGATCCGCTGTTCCGCCTGAACACTGACATGTATCTGCTATGAACACGGGACACTCGCTCGCGCCAGCCAGCTGTGATTTCACGGTCGGAGTGTGATATCATGCCCATGAATCTTGCGTTGTGAAATCACAAATCCGGTATGAAATCACGCTTCATATAGATTTCATGCTTTTTTCCATGATCTCATAGAGCCGGGGTTTTCTAGATGAGGCGGAGCCGGAGGCCCCTAGGGGCGACACATGGCATAGCACATGTGTACTACGTTTTGGACCCAGGAGCGACAACGTCAACGAGATATGCGGTCTTGATTCCTTGGGCCGGATACCCTTTGTAGCGTCGGCCAGAGCATTCCCCCATAGTAAAAAGAAACGTAGAACATGCAACACCATTCGACCGACGACCGAGAAAACACCCACATATGAACAAGGGGGGAAGGTCAGACACAAAAAAGACAGAATCGTACAACACGGCACACCGGCATCGGGACCAGCACCAGACAGTGCCAGCACCAGGACCAGTGGACCAGCGTGACGAAGTCACGCGACCGCTTCCACGTTCTGCCGCACGATGCGCGGCGGAACGAGGGGGCACTTGGACAGCTCATCAATCGACTCCGTCTTGGTCGGTTCTTCGGCCGAGCCGGCGTCGTCCAGGCTGCGGAAAAGGAGGCAGCAGGTGACGTCCAAGTCGCGGAACGCAACACCATCGCGGAGCTTCCACGCCTCTGGCGCGGTGGGGTTGAAGTCGCTTGCGACGGCGCGGAACTCGGCCTGCAGCTGGGCGGGCAGCAGGGCGGCCAGGGCTTCGAGGCTCGCGCGCTGCTCGGGCGCAATGGTGAGCATGCCCTCGAGGATGTTGCGCGTGCGCCCCGAGAGGCCTGCGAGCGTGTTGGCCGCCTCCTGGTTGCCCGGGTACATCCCGATGAGCGCCGCGAGCGTCGACTGGTTCGTAGCCTGCGCGTAGCGTGCCACCACGAAGCGGCGGTCGCTGGGACGGGCTACGTCGAAGGGAAAGAAGCCGAAGAGGAGCGAGAAGACGACGACGCCCATCGACCAGATGTCGGCCTTGTACGGATCGCACGGCGTCTCTTCATTGGCGAGCCACATCTCCGGCGCCCGATAGGACTTAGTGCCCAAGCGCCTAGGGCACTCGAGCGCCGGCTTGGGGTGGAGCAGCGGCACAGCGAGCATCGAGATGTCGAAATCGAAGATGCGGACTCGGCCAGCGGCATCGATGCCAATGTTCTCGAACTTGAGGTCGAGGTGTGCCACGCCCAGGCGGTGCATGAAGACCATGCCGCTCAGCAGCTGCGAGACTAATCCGAGAACGCGCTGCTCGCCGAGAACACCGCCATCGGTGATCAGATCGAAGAGGTCGGTCACGAGGAGGTCCGCGATGTAGTACGTGCAGGCGCCAACCGTGCAGGCGGCACGTGCGAGCACAAGCGACGGGTGCGGAGGGTCGTTGCCAAGGCGGATGAAGACCTCGTTCTCTCGCTCGTACGTGTCGTTCGGCGCAGAGACAAGTGCGACCGGCTCGTTGGTGGCGGCTACGCGCCCAGAATACACCCTCTTGCTGGCGCCGCTGCCACGGAGCTGGACTTCGGGTTCGATCCCGAGGGAGGCGAGCGCATGTGCTGGCGGAGCCATGCACATGCTCTCCCGAGAGTGGACGGGGCCCGATGGACGGGGCTGGGACGCGTCACTTCAAAAAAAGAATCTTACGACAAAAAACATTGACAGTAAGAAACGGAGTTTTAAAACCCAAAACCGAAAGGAACAGCGTGACGCCGCTACCTTTACCCTCCCACACGGGTTTGTCCCCCCTCCTTCGGGCTGCTCCATTCTCTCTCGTCTCTCTCCCTGCCTAGGCGGGGCGGCGGGGTGCGGGTGTGGGGGCGGTGTGAGTGCGCTTGTCTGTCTGCAACCATGACATGGGACCCCTCTCGCCTTTTTCTATTAACAACGAAGGCTTCCGAAAAAAGAAACCCCCAGACTGAAATGGACTAGTAGCAAACAGAGGAGAACCAAACGCGGTTGAGGAGGATGAAGCGGGCAACCCGGTCCTAAAGTTTGCCCACCACTCAAACCGACGGTTCTCGGACAAGGTGGCGCGGGACACCAGCGATGTCACGGGCGCTATCATCACAGACATCGGCTGCATCTTTGGTTGGAACGAGCAGGAGCGAGAGAGGTCGATGCAGCAGCACTACGCCGGCCTCGATCTCGCCTCGCGCATCGAGCGGCTCGCGCGGGTGACTATGATGGTGTAGTGGCTGAGGGGCTGGGGCAGTGCTCGAGATCATGTTCTACGATGGATGGCGATGGGGGTTGGCCCTGCAACGGTGTCTCTTGCGGAGCAGTGGTATGCTGTATCGCGCGAGGGTTGCAGGCGTGAGGGTCGAGGGTACCTTTTACCCCCTTTGCTATTAACATGCTTTGGAATCTATGAACATGACCTCGAGTGGAGCCCCAGTCCTCGACAGGCTCCCACGCCAGCTTGCCCGCCGCCCTGTCGTCTCGCCTATCGCCTGCCTGCCTTCGCCCTCGCCCCCTCCTCCCGCCACCACCCTCGCCCCACCCTCCCGCCGCCTCGCCACTCGCTCGCTCGCTCCCCCGCTCGCGCCTGGATTTCTACTTCCTCGTGATCGCCCGAATCTCTACTTCCTCGTGTTCCATCCGCCACCTTCCTCGCCTCGTCACCCTCCCGCCGCCTTGCTTGCTCGCTGCTCGTTCACATGCTCGCGCCCGAATTTGTACCTCCTCCTGACCCACTCACCACCACCCTCGCCTCGCCCTCCCGCCGCCTCGCCGCTCGCTCGCGCCCGCCCGAGTCTCTCCTCCCTCGTGATCCATCCGCCACCCCCCCTCCCCGCGCCGTACCGCCGCCTAGCCTCCATCCTGCTGCCACCCCCGCTCAGCCGTCCGACCCGCCCTCCAGCGCCCTTCCGTTCTGCCGCCGTGCCGCCGTGCCGCCGCTTCCCCGCCGACCCGCCCGCCACCCCCCCGCCTCGTTACCCTCCCATCGCCTTACGGTTCCGCTTCCTTCCACCTCGACCACACCGCCACCGTTCCCCCTCCTATACATGCACGGCGCGCGCACTGAGATAGCGATTCAGCCTCGCTTTTCTCGTCTCAGAAAAGCTCAAATTCTACGTTTCTACCGCACTCTTCGACACTCCCACACCTGTACTCCGCCCAGGCAAGACAATCACTCGCCCTACGCGGGCCTGCAACCTAAAACGGGTGTACTGTGGACACAAACACTCGATCTCACACCGTGAGTAACGGCGTCACGCCGCAGCCATCTTGGCTTTGCGGCCCCAACCGTCACATTGTCGCCCCCTCCACGCGAGCACACCTCGCGCCGCGCCGCCGCCTCGCGCCGCGCCGCCCCTCAATTCCCAGCTCGTTCCCTCCCTCTTCGGCTGCCCTTACCGATCGAAGGAAAGCATCCGCTTGCTGTCGTGGCGACACCTGCATCTCCTCCTAAAGTTATGTTATGTTATGTTAGGAAGGTGAAGAACAGTCAGGCTCGGACTGGACACCAACGCGGTATGGATGGACGAGAGACAGATGATGACGACACGCTCGAGCGACACACAGACACAAACAAGCTCACAAGACACTCAGCCAGCTGGGCTGCCACACACCCTGAGTGGACGTACACATCACTCAAGGCCACGTTCCCCCTGCCACCCCCCCCAGCACCCGCGGTGCCAAGGGACAAACAACAGCAAACAAACACACACAGGCGACAGGGGCTAATGTGTGAGGCTAGAGCAGACTGCTCCGCCTCTAGCAATCTTCGCCGGCCGCGAGGCACAGACGAGATCGTGCGTGGGGTCTTGTGAGGCGTCTACGGGCACTCTCCTCTCGGGCTACCCGCCAACGTCTAGCCCTATCTCGCACTTATCAGGGTGATGTACAGTTCATTGGATGAGTCTTAGCGAGCAGAGGCGCGTGTGCTGATTCTAGGCCGAACGCCGTGGCATATGACTTGGGAGGCGTACGACCGCAGCGCGCCCGCCGTAAGCTCGACGGGGCGCGTTATGTATTCACAGCGTTTCGCCGTGAACACATATGGTCCGACACATCTAAGGTGGAAGGGTGGGGTAGGAGAGAAGTACTCTTGAGGGAAACATTGGACCGTCAGGCCCCGGGGACTGGCCAGCCCGACTAACACAACCTTCAGGAACACCATTTTGCGGTCCTGAGCGGCCGTCTCGGAGCAGAAGCTTCCCTGCCTCCTTAGCCATGTTGCGGTGCCCTCGCGCCATCTGGTCCACGCACTGCTCGCAAGTAAAGCGTCTTCACAGGTCGGCAGAGACGCCTCACCTTAAAAAGGATGGGCTAGTTCCATTTCACTCTGACACGCTAATCTTGAAAACGTCCAACGGAGCTCCGTGTTGCTCCCAGCGCCCTCCCCCGCGCTTCCTGCGGCCATGGCCGATGATACTAGTATGAGAGGTCATCTGGCTACCGCGAGCGCGACTCAACTCGCCGACGTCGTCCGATGATTGTGCCTCAAAGTCAGCCTCCGGAGGCTATCGTGGGGTCGAGCCGGCAGTAGCCGTGACATGTGGTTCCACCACCCCTCGTATGCTTTGCCTCTGACCGCCACCGTTCCCAGGCTGCCAAATGGGATGGAAAGGAAGGCTCGGCGAGCGTATAGAAGCGTGCTCGACCTCGTCGTGGCAACCTGTACGGCAGCGCTGGTAGGCGCGATGAGCGTCGTGCCACCTGACCCGAGACGGGTCGCAGGCGTCGTACCGAGCGCGTCGAGACCGTGTCCTGATGTGATCTGCACGGGTGAGTCACGTCGGCGTCAAAGGAGCGACGTGCGACCTGTCAGAGCTTGATCTCCGATCTCAGCGGCGTCGAGTCATCTCCGGCGCGCGACAAAGGTACATCCACAGGACGCGCAGAGGCAGCTGCGACCCCGCCGAGTGGACGGTAACGCACCGGACGCATGCCCGCCCTCTGAGGCGGCCGTCCGAGTCGGGGAGGCAAACACACAACCATCCTCGCGGGTGTGGGCGGCCTTCTCGGCCCGCTATACTAACCCTAAGTCGGCCCTTCCGCAGGAGCACGGCGTCGTCCACATCATGGTCGTGAATGAGACGCCCGTGTTCGACATCACCGAGAACGCCAACTCGGCCGACATGCCCGGCTCGCATTGGTTCCTCGCCGCCTGGTTCATCGAGCCCGAGCAGGAGGCGCTGGCGCGAGCTAGTACATGTCCTGCTCCTGGACGGTGGCAGCGCTCGCACCGAGCGCCAGCAGCGGATCTGGGTCGATTGCAGCTTCTGCCTTGTGGAAGCGTGAGAAGGCATAATCCGTTGCGTGCGAAGAAGGCATCTCGTACAGAGCGGCCTCCCCTTCAATCGCGCCCTCTCCCATCGCCGAGGTCGTGAACTCGCCGGCCTTGGGGTAATCGTCTAGTAGGCCATACCGTGGCGCAGCCGAGGCGAAAGATTGCCCGATGATTCCATGCGGCAGAGATCGCGTGGCGGCATCGCCCTTTGCACTGAAGCTGACATCAATGCGGTGCTTCGGTCCCGAGATCCAATCGTAAACGTGGTTGCCCCGCACAGTAATGGTCCAGTTGCCGAGGGTGAAGGTGGCGGTGGAGAAGGTCATCTCAATTCTGAGCTCACCACACTGCTTGAACCCCCACTTTCCGAACTTGAAGTGGTGGTTTTTGCATGTCCCATTGATGACGTTCCACCCCCAGTTCTCGTCGTTCAGCGAATGGGAAAAGAAGAGCGGGGTTTGAGGAGCCAGCGACGATATGCGCCTCGGTGAGGAAGCTGCCATGGACAATGAGCTTGCCGCCGTGTAGCCGGAACGTCGCATCCTCAGTCTTGACGTTGACGGCTAGGCGAGGGGAAGAGAAGAAGTTGTAGTAAGCTCCGTTGCGGCCCCGGAAGTCAGCCCGACCGCCGTGCGCGAAGTGAACATGGGGGTCCTGACGAACCAAAGCAGGCGTGGGTGGCGACGCCGGTGGCGGGCAGCTGCTCAGGCCGAGGATGCTCGCGCAGTCCTCCCACGTGCTCGACGGAAAGCCGTTGGACGACGCCCAGCCCGCCGGCTGGCAGTGGTTGCCGTCCATGTTGCCTTGGGAGCGGTAGACGCAATCGGCGTCGTCGCCACTGAAAGCAGAGCGCGGGTCGGATGAGCGGCAGCACGTCTCGGCGTCCCTGGTAGCGTAGCAGCCGGGGGAGAGGGAAGAGCGAGTCCACGTGCCAGGCATGTCGTAGCACGGCTGAAGCTTGACGCAGAAGGCGAAGTCCTCGTAGTCCGCGTTCGAGCTCGGGTACCCGTCGGGCCAGGTCTGCGTGTTGAGGTTGCACAGGAGCTGCACCGCGCTGCACTCGTACGACATACACAACGGCTCGTTGTCGCAAGCGTCGGAGCACACGTGGCAGCCGGTGATCGTCATGCCGCCTCCCACGCCGTTGATTGCACCGAGGTTGGCGACATCGCCCGCGACTCGCCCGTAGCCCGGCCCACAAGGCGGCGCGGGCGGAGCATCCTCAGAAAGTCGGCGATACTGGCCCCAGCGGCTTTCCAAATAACTCCCATCTTCGGGGCGACGCCTGAGAGATCGTTGTGGTGCCGGCGTCGGTGACGGCGGCGATGGTGACGGGGTC